AGGGCCACATGTACAAACAGGGCCACGTGTACAAAATCAGGAACAACAGCATCACTGACTGATAACATACTCTCTTTCTAGGTAGAGCATTTTTAAGTATGGTCTTGGGTTCTTTTAACCAACTTTTGATATTGTAGTCAATGGGAGAAAGTGAAACTAACTTTACAGGCAGGTAGTAAGCAGCTAATTTTATAAGATTCTTCTCCGTTTGCAGTTCCTAATGAGTGGGGTTCATATTTACATCACGATAGCTAATTTGATGGAGTTTGAAAGCACAAAGCTTGATCAGATGCAGCAAATGCAGTGTTCCAGCAATCATTGGCTCTTCTTCATATGATGTTAAAATATATATGTACACTAACGCCCGTTTCTTTGTTGCCACAGGTTCTGCCTGGCATACTGCAGAAGCATTGCTGCATTTTACCTGACAGGAATACAGGTAAACTTTTTTCTTAATGAATTAACATTGTGGTATGATTTGGAGAAATGCAAACACAAATTGGATTATATTGAGAAGTCTTTTTTGCTATTTATGGCCACTGAAGTTATCTTATAGGGAGTGATTACTTGGATGTTTTGTTTATATTACCTGCTTTCATGTGAAGAATTTGTGTATTCTGTTAATTTTCTGGAGCTGTTGCAGTTGTTGAGGTTGCTATCAGGTCTTGCTTATAAAGGTATTTGTATGAACTTCTGAAGCATTTCTGTATTGTTAATTATAAAGTTACGACTTTGTCAAGAAAGGAGATTTAATACTGAAGTCTGCAGTCTGGTCCTCTTGATTCACAAAGGTGCCAAGCATGAAGTCCCACATAGCTCTTACTGCAGATAAATGCTTGCTCTATGCTTATTTTTCAGAGGGGAGGAGTAGACTGGAGTAGTAGACTAAAGGAGTAGACAGAATGAGTATCACGAACGATGCCGGAGGAAACTTAGAGTTGTTTGCAGGAGGAAACTGAGAGTAATGTGTTTGTGACCAGAACAAATCAATTGATGAGAATGATATTGGATGAGAAGAAAGTTATGATTTAATTTTACATTCTTTTATGACAGGAAAAAAACAATTTCTTTAAAATAAGTTTTAAAATCCTTTCAATAATATTATAAATTGAGTTAAAGTGACTGTCTATGCAACTGTGAGTATGACTTGACAGACTAATTTCAGAGAAGTAGGAGGAAAAATATAGGGGTTTGTTTGATATCTTCTTAATAGAATATATATGATTGCTTGCATCTCTTAAGGCTACATCCCCTCTTCCCCCTGTAGCTACCATTAAAATAAACTGGTTTGCTCCTTGGCTTGCTATTATTTGTATTTCAGGCACAGTTTGCACTAAGGGTAATTACAGAGAGAACTTGAGAACTATGTTGAACTGTAGAGGGACTTGTGGTTACCTGCAAATGCTCAAATGAAATTTGAAATCTGATTTCCATTTTATCTGTGAACACAATAGAAATACTGCAGTAAGACAGTTAATAATATACCCCTTCTAGCAAGAATTCGTAAGTTCATAATTAGTCTGCAGACAGACTTTGGCCTTCGTAATAATTTCAAGATTTCCTGAAAACTGGACTTGGTATAATGATCTCAGCCCAGTCTGTGTGCTCCTTTGCTAGTATCCTGTTCCAATTATTTTGATTCTTTTATTTGTAATATAAGAACTTGATCCAGATTCCATTGACAACCAAACTCTTCTCAACTTATACATAAGTGTATCACGTAGATATCAAAGCCAGTGTTGCATGAAGTAATGGTCTGGGTATGGGCAGTAAGACTGACCATTTATCTAGAGAGGGTATAATATGCCTTTATAACCAATATCAAGAAAGCCACGTATCTAAAATCTCAGTCACCTTCAAAAGTGCCTTCATTTGGGCATAAAAAAAAAAAAGGCTCTTCCTAATGTAAAATTTGTTTTTGAAAACTTTGAACTAAGCTCTTTGAAGAGGAAATCTATCAGGTTTACGTAGATAACAACTGCTGGACAACTCAAGCACACTTATGTGTGAAAATAGTTGTAAGTTCTACTGCTGCTGTGTGACTGCAGCAGGAAGTATTTTTATGCCTACCTACTGTATAGTGGGGAGTTGCCAGCAGGAGCAAAGTAAGTGATGTCTGTGTTCCATTTTCCCCACTTCCCCCATTTTACAGTGTTTAAATACTTGGCAAAGAGAAGGAGAAGGAGAGTTTAGACAGGCCATGGGGGATTTTTAAACTCCTTTTTGCAGGAAAAAAATGACTCAATTTGTGTTTGATTCATTGAGTCTGTTAGAGATAAATGACCCTTTGTCTTGTTTGATTACGTCTGAATCAACTAGTTCAAACTAAGAAGAAATTCATTAAATATGGGTAAATGTGGAATGTACTATTTGCATTCAAATGTATACATCAGACATAATCTTGTCCAGCTCCATTCTCAGTAAATGAGCCTAGAAAAATTGCCTGATTGCGAGCTGTAGGTCTGTTTGCATTCAGCTGTTGACATTTGGAGGAACTGAACAATATACAGACTTGGGTGTTGTTCCTAATGATGAGAGAAGGATAAAGAGAGATGGACTGCAGGGGGGATGGGAGAAGAAAGAGGGGAAGAATCATATAACGAGACTGACAAAACTGTTAGGGAAGAACACGGATGCTGTAGGGAGTACAGATGGGTGAAAGGGAGAGGTGCAGTAGTAGTTTCTCCACTTATTTATATCCATTCAGCACTTCCAGTGTAGCCAGCTTGGTGGTCTTTGGCTCTTCATTCAAGAGTGCCTTCATGACCAGCCTCTTTCATGCTGTTGCACTGGAGCTGCACCTCAGAAAAAGAAACGAGCCCTTGGGAACAGCAGGACCAGTGCTGCCAGGCCGTTCTTTCATCTGACTGCCCTTCAGACCTAGCCTCAGTTTGATTCTTGGGGAATATATGCATTTAATCTTAAAAGTAACATGTCCCTGGATTGCCTGTACTCTAGAAAATTGTGCATATCACTGTCCTTTCCTACACTGTGTAGGACACTGAAGTAACCACACTTCGTGGTATTGATATTCTGTATTTGTAAACTGGAGAAAAGAACTATGCATGGAAAGAAGGGTACATGGCAGCAATGATCTCCTTCCCATGGTGATGATTTGTTAGTACTCCTACTATGAACTTTTATTCTCAGTGCTTATAACTAAGCGATAAAAATATCTCCTGCAGAAACTTTTAAAAGGGAGCATAAAAAATGTAATTCAGCCATTCCCCAGCAATGCAATTTTGGAAGAAGGTACATATTTAACAAGATTAGGTATTTCAAAGGTTAAAGAATGATTAATTTTCAAACATGTAAGGCATTTACGGAATTTCATTCTCTAAATATAACACTGAATACTGCTAGTTGGCTGCTTGCATTAAACTTTGCTAATAGACAGTGATGTTTCATTTCTTAAGTGTTAATTTATTTGTGGCTTTCCATTAATCATATTTTCATTACTAAATTAAAAGTTCATATAGCATGCACTTGCATAATATGTGCTCATTATCATGTTAGCTAGTATCTAGAACCTGAATTTATCACATAATCTGTGCCTCAAGAGACAAAAGATCTCAGACCAGACACATTTATTCTGCACTTCTATCTTATATGCCATAATCATACTGTAAGAATTTTATTGATGTCCCTGCTAAGTTTTTTTCCATGTCTTGGATCTGAATCAGCCAGCAACAACTGGGATGCATTAGCAGTTATAAAGTTAATTGGAAGAAAAGCAGTTACATGCTCTGTACAGGCATTAGTAACAAGATCGTAAGGGGAAACAGTGTGAATGACCTGGTAGGGAGCAGCTTCCTTATTTTCTTGAATTATAACCCTCTTTCTCTCCAGCTCCAGCTGGGAGAAATAACCCAACCCTTCTGATGGACATCCACCACCCTCTGTGTACATATGCAGCTGGCTCATATTCCCTTTACAAATATTTCCCAGCAATGATCCATCCCCTGTTAATGGGAAATCTTCAGCGAAATCAGAAGTCCCTCTCATTTCTGCATGGTCACTTCTGTAAAGATTAGGCAGATGCTGAGGCTGTCCTTCCCTGCTCCCACCAGCCTTAGAGAGCTGTTCACACAGTATAAGCACTACACTTGGTTTGTACCCTCAAAATGAAGATAGCCATTAAATGCAATGTTTTGGCATTCCTAAACAAAAAATTGAGGGGTTAAAATGCAGATTTGAAACAGAGAAGCGAATGTACGCTGCTGTGTGTTGCTTTTTATTTAAATTTATGTATTTTTTAAATTTATTTTTATTTCCAGTCTTGCTTGAAATAGAACTCTTCAGGCAGTACACGTGGGTTGTTTAGATGTAGAAAATTTCATGCAAATAAAAAGGGGAAATAGATCTGAAAGCTTATGCTTTTGTGTATGCTGTGTTTAAGCAGTCTTAGAGCAGATAAGTGAATTATTTGGAGTTTGATTTTTATTTATCCCAGGGCTCCTTGTATCGTGATCTAGCACAATAAAGGATCCTCAAGGTGAGCACAAATATACTTGGTGCAGTAAAACGTGAGTTATCAATGGGACTCATTAATAGAAGGCGCTTGGTGTGATTTTTACCATTGCTACAGCTGTTAAATGGACACTCTTGCACTGCTAAGATGCTGATAGCTGTGTGCTTTGTCTGCCTCTGTGGTGCTCTTGATACACAATTATTAGTTTCCAAATTGCACGAAAAGCTTCTGTACTATTTTTTCTGTTGTAGCTGTGAATTTGATATGTTGTGGACTGCAAATTTGGATTCATTTTTTCCACTGAAGATCCCAAAGGAAGGAATGAATCAACAGTTGTTAGCAGCTTCTTGGGCTGATTCTTTCTTTGAAGTTTAAGCATGAATTTCCCCTCTCATTGTGAAGGAGAACATAGGTACAATAAAGAGCACCTGCACTGATCATACTGACTTTATTCTGATAAATAGCTCTTTGAGCAACACTTTGAGCAACACTCTTTAAAAAAAAAAAAAAGAAAAGATATTTCTGCTGTCTCAAGTTTATTCATCGTCCATTTTCAGATCAGCTCTTATGTACTGATATTGATCTTGCACAAGATGTTAAATCTTTCATTATAATCATCCTCTTTTGTCCACTGCATTGGCTAAAATTACACTGAAAAAAGTGTGACCAATGTTCTACTTTCTGCAAAGAATGAATAATATCTGCTTTAGAGAGTGGTAATTGCTTTATATACAAAAGCAGGAGTTTAATAATAACCAATCTCTTCATTGGGTAAACTAGAGCCCAAGATGGGAATGTTTCATCCTTTGCTTGTTTGCTTTTCTTCCTGTTGCTCGAAGAGCAAATATTGAACAGAAGAAAAATCTAAGATGGTATTAAATAGAATTCCTGCACTAAACTTTACTAAATTGGATAAAGAAGTCAACATTGCTTTTTTTTTCCCCTTTCACTGTATCTACAACAGTATTGCCTTACTAGCTTTTAAAATAAAAGGTGAATTGGTGCTCAAAACCAAGTGGTTTATAGCTAGCAAATATGTTACTAGTGCTAGTTAGTTAATATATATATACATATATATATATATATATTTATTGAAATGCAATGGATGTTTATGGGAAAAGCCATCCAGACAATGCGTGTGTATGAACTGTACAGCAGCCAGTTTGACTTCACAGAAGGAATTACAGGATAATGTTCAGAAGCCAAAGTACTGTTACAAAAATAACTTAGCATATTATCTTCCATCCAAATACTTTGAAGTACTTAATTAATTGTGATGAATTTTTGTCTTGTGCCATTGTGATAAAGAAATTTATTCCTATGTTCCAAAGACGAAGTCAGATTATCAGCTGCTGCAATGCAAGAATATTCACTAGGGTTAGTATCATCCTCTTTAGAAGTTCTTTGCTGAAACTGAGATTGTCCTTTTGCTTTCAAGATGTAGCTATAGATTTTTAGACAGTTCCTGCAGATTTCACCTGCTGTCTGCTTGCTGAGTTCAACATGAGCATTTTCATTCAGATGTTCAGCTGCAGGCTGCCTGATGGTACTTTCCACCCAGTTTCCATGGAAATGGGAATTAGAAGGGTGAAAATAAAGGAAGAATAAGTATTTTCTTAATCTTCTAGTTAATCTGGAAGTTCTTGTACCTTGGCATTAAGGTTGTTTTGCTTCTACTTGGATAGGGATTTGATACCAACTTCTGAAAATTCAAAAATAAGACTTGTCATTGGAGCTGTTATAAACAATACCTGTTACCATGACTCTGTAGACTTGTTGGGAATCACTAGTAAAGGATGAAGAAGGGAGAACTGAACTGAACCGTGCAAGGATAAACTGATGAAAGGGTGTGAGGTAATACCCTATGGCCATTTTAGACTTAGTACTGCTAGATCTATCTAGAATAAGGAACTATGCACTTGCAGTCTCAAACCAGCCAGGAGACTGCCTTGTCTTATTGGATCTGTACCTGCCTAAGATTGTCCATCTCGATCCACTAAAATCTGGTCTCTAGGTGTTCAAAAATATAGACAGTTTGGGGTAGACTCGTACTTCAAAGGGGTCAGGTCTATGATCTCAAGATCAATAGGACCTCAGACTTCAGTATCAAGACTTCCAGCTATAAAGCTAATCAACACATGTTAGTCCGCTTAAAATAATTGGACAGGCTAGAAGACTCTGGATATGTGAGAGCATAAAAATGTTTTAAGGCTCTAGCTAGTGCAGATCTCTGTGCCATTCTGCTTATGGTGTAAAAAAGCATGATCACAGCACAACGTGTTGGTGCTTCAGTCTTTGCACGGTGTCCTGGTTGGTTGCAAGCATAGTACAAAATCCTTTTTGGAGTTCAAGGTCCTGCACTACAACTGGTTCCTCCCAAGAGATGCTTTTTATCCTCTTATTACTGTTATGAAAAGTCACAGTTGTGCCTCACCCAAAACTATGTAGTCTTAAAAACAAAAAAACTGAGCAAGAGACTTCACTGATGCTTAGATGTCACATTAAATGTTCCAAGATCGATAAAACGTGCTCCCCTGAAGGGCAAGTGCTGCCTAACACCTGTGCTCTCGGGACTGGATGTATACTGTTAGCTGTAAAATAGCACTTTCACAACAGTCTCACCCTCGTATGTGTGAGGGGAGCAGGGACTGAAGAAGGCGCTCTAACTTGATGAAGCTTAATTCTAGAGGCAGACGTGAGCATGTGTGTTTGCAGTCTCTTTGCCTAACATCATATGAGTCCTGGAAGCTAAAGGTATGTAGGAAGGAAATTCTCTCCAAAAAACAGCATCCCTTTCAAGAAAGCTTACTTGACCTTTATTTCTGAAATGTTTCATAGAGCATTCCAATGCATATAGCTCAGCTGCTGAAGGAAGAGAGAACTGTGCATCATCATCAGCAGAAACTGCAGGCAGCTCTGATAATTGATCTTATTAGTAATGAGACGAAGTCTTGCTAAATGAAAGCGTATGTAGAATGACTGCTTCCTATATGCCACAGTTTGGGATTTTTATTTTTTAGGGCTTTCAGCTATTTGTGAAACAGATGGTTGCCCAGGCTGTATGTAAATCACATGGACTGGGGAGCTTTGTGTGTGTGTGTACTGTACACGGGCACTCTCTTGTGGAGGAACATAGTTTTGAAGTCCACTGCCAAAATATATGTCTTGGCCAACACAGTGCAGTGTGTGGGTAGAGTTAAAGAGTGTGGAATTGAGCAGACAAATCAAAAGTTAGACATTTCTACTCATAAAGTGAGTAAAGTAGAATGTTGGTATGTTTTTCTAGAACAGCTATAAGTCAATGGTGAGGAGCACAGGGAATTCTTATAGATCTCAGGAATATAGCTATAATGCTGGAGGACTCCTGAATTAATTTTTTATGTGAGTACAGTAGGCCACACTGATATTTCATTACCACTAGAGGAATTTGACTATGGGCCAAAAGAATTTATTCCCTTACCTTTTAAAGGTCTCAGAAGTGCCTACAGAAAAGTATCTTCATTTCTTGCTTCAGTAGTGTCTTGCCTCTCCAGCTACTTTGAGGCATCTTGGAAGCAAGGACAGATCCCTTGGCTGGTATGCATTAATCATACGTAAGTCAGTTGTGTAAAGTATAGAAGCAATAGATATGTTTTATTTGCTATCATTTTTTCAACGTGTGAATTATATTCCTTTTGTCCTTAAATTGCAATTCAACTATTTAAGTAGATTGTTATCCTAAAAAGATGTCAGTTCTTGATCTGGGAAGGCACTTAGTCCTGAGAGGAGGAAGCAACGGAACAGCATTGGAAGTGACCACCAATCCTTTATTCCAGATTCACGTCATTTGTATTGCAACTGGAATTTGGTGGGAGCTCTTCAAGGTTTTGAAGAGCAAAACATTTTTTTTTTGGGGTTTTGGGAATAATAGAATTTGTCATAAAAGTTTTCTTGCAAAAAGTATGTAAGTTAGAAAAAATAAGGACTAGAATTCACATTGCTAAATTCTAAAACCAAATATGTTTTAAGAAACTGTTGTTTGCTTTGTCCTTTTCCATACACCCCCACCCACTCCTCCACTGGCCCTTTTTACTAGAAGAGTGGGAGAGTATGGGGAATTGGGTTCTGTATCTAAGATGCTCACTGTGTTAGATAACTTTTATTTTCATAAGATACCTGAACAATGTTTGCCTGCTCTAAGGCATGCTCCTTAATTTGGAGTAGTCTGCCTCGTGTTTTGTACTAGCATTTAACTTCCTAGGATAGAATAACAGATTAAAAAATATGTAGCATACAAGCATTTCCACGATTAAAACCATCGGAGCTCTCTTTCATTCTAGTTGTTCATTTTCCAGAAAAGGACATCCCATTTCCACTGACGTACTGGTGGAGACTTCTTCCAGACATACCTTTTTTCTTTCAACTGGCTTTATTAATGTGCAATTTTTCTTGTCCTTCCTATTTCTTCTTGTGTTAGCTGATGGGGTGGGAGTACTAAAACATACATTTTGTTATCAAAACATCTGAGCTGTTCATGCTTTCCATTTAAAGATAACCTACAGTGATATTCTCTATGGTTAAAATGGTTTTACGTTGCTGGAATGATTTTATTTGTAATAATGCTGTATGACGCAGTTCTCCTGCCTTTTGGGATACTATAACATAATAGGAGCTGTAAATAACAGCTGCTAATGTCTACAGTCATGCACAACAGGCTGTAATTTAACCACTTGTCTCTTTTCTGTCATGACGGGAAATAGCAAACATTTCTGCACCAATACTGCATATGATCCCCAAAGCAGTTAGTGGTGCTTATTGTAGAAATATATTTCCAGAGGCAGTGCTGCACCCTCTGCACTTGAGATTAAATGGTAGCAAATGCTTCCATGCATGAGGTTTATTCATCTCAGTATGACTCTGCACTGGGTAAGGCACAAACTGTATCTCCAGAGAATCTCTCTCAGTCTGCCAGGCAAGAGGAGTGATGCTGTTGAGCAGGGAAAACCAGAGGAAGAGCCTAGAAACAGCAAAAACTGTCCTAATAGTTTATCTTCTTGAGGCAAAGATTATTGGGGCAGGGAAGGAGCAGAGAAGATGAAGATGTTTCACCATAAGGGAGGCTAATATTTCAGTATACCTCTGTGAAAGTCATTGTACAAGATTATATGCATGTTGTCACCTGTAGATTGCATTAATTTTATTAAAATCTGTTGATTTGCTAGACTTAGGTAATTAAATACTGAAGTGAGGAAGTGTGAATTAGTAGTTGGCCAAAGCTGCTGTCCCAGAGTCCCCCAGGTCTTATCTAGACACAGCTTAAAATCAGGGAAGAAGTGAGGGGTAAGAGTATAGTACCAGAGAAACTACGAGAAGCATAACTCATAACTGTGCTCATCTGACAGCAAGCCCTCGGGATGAATCATCTGAAGATTTTCAGTGGTGTATATATAGGAAACCTAAACTTACCAAAGAATAACTATGGGATGACAAAAAGCCATGGGGGCATTTGCAGTTTTTCTTACCTTATGTAATGGCTTCTTGAATGTCCTTTATAAACTGAGGACAGATCCTCTGTACTGTGCCATTAAAACTTCTTGTGAGCCAGAAGCCTCCATACTGAACATGGGCAGAACAATGCTGGAGGCTTCAGCTGACAGAAGTTTAATTCATGAACCACCTTCACAAATATATTTGGAAATCGTGAGTCACAGAAATCAGCCCACAAGGCATAAGAAATTACATCATGGTTAAGCTGCAGGTGATTGCAAATGTAAGGGATAAGATACCACATAAGCTTCAGGGAAAGGGAATTATATATTGAAAATGCTTCACTGCTTTTTGCTCCCATTCTCATTTGGAGGGCAGTCAGAGGAAGCAATACAAAATTGAAAAGCCTGAAGAGGAAGGATCAGCATGGCATGAACTGTTAATACCATGTGTTAAAGGATGTGTCCTTTCTTTTTGTTGCCATAAAGACTTGGAAATCATGTACAATCATGAGCACCTCTGCTTTAGGACTAGTGATCCATGCTTCATATACCTGAGGATGAGTCTTGATGATGTATTTGCACTAAATATATATATAATGATTCTTTACAAAAAGTCATTAGAATTTGTTGCCCAGTGCTAAAATTTTCTCTCTCTCTTGTTTCTATGGAAACTGTAATACTTATAAGACACAGTAAACAAATGCACTGTATTATAAGCCTCCCCTTTAGCAGGAGATTAATTTTATTAATATCTGTCCAAATTAGTCTGGTGGCAGGTATTGTTCATTTAACCATCCAAACAGTAAAGTATCTATTTTATTTTTACTGAAGACTTATCTTCCAGCTTTGAGGGCTTTTATTTGCTCTTAAATCATTTTCCTGACCCAGTGGTGAGTTGGTATTTGCTAGTGGTTACTGCTGGTAATATTTGCTTAGCTCAGAGGAAAGTAGTGAGTGCTTTTATAAAGTGCTTCAGAAATAGAAAAATCTTAAAGCATAGAAGTACACTTTTTGCTAGCTAATACAGAAAATAAAAGCCTCTTTTGCCTGTGATTCTTCTGAACATGTTTATATGGCATGGTCTTCTGGGGTATAGCTGGAAAGGCACAGCCTGCTTTCTAAGAATGCGACTTAGCCTTTTGTGGAATTAATTATACCTCACAAAGTGGAGTGTCATCTTCTGGAGCCATGCACAATTGAAGTATTTTACTTAGCAACAAGTGCTCTATATGTTCCAGACTGCCAAACACAGCAGAGGCAGTGAGGAGGCTGACCTCTACCTCCCCCTGCTCTTCCTGGAAGGAGTTGCAGGCCTAGTGGTTAGCATGCAGGACTCTCACCGCTGCGACCCAGGTTCGATTCCCAGTCCCCCGGGCAGATGGAGCTCGTTAGCCCTGTGAGGCCATCCATCTATGAGAAGGTCACTCTAAACAAACCTACGTCCTGAGGACCTCACTGCCATTGTCCAAGCTTGCTTGGCCCTGGCAGATGAACCTTAGGATTAAAGGGTGGGCTCAGTTCAGCGCATGCTGTGTCTCACCTAAAAACTCCATTGCGCAGGTTTGAAAGGTAAAAGACCTTTCCCAAAATCTTCGTTCGAGAAGACTGGCCATTATTATTATTATATTATTTATCTCCTGCAGTGCTGAGGACCCTGTGTCTTGCAGGCACATGTGCCAAACGGGGGAGCTTGAGTCCAGGTGGTAAACTTCCTACTCACTGATGGTGATACAATGACATTCCTGCATGATTGCTGATCTTGTCTTCTGTTTAAGAAATGAACCTTCCTTCTGTGAAACCAGTTTCAAGGTGACATGCTGAAAAACGTAGTGAGGTTTTCAAAACATTTTAAAACTGGATAAATTGTTCAAGTGACTCAGTAAGTGTTATGCCTAGGCTGTACTTCTGGAGTGGTTTATGGAGAGTGAAAAAGTCAAAGCTCAAATACTCAAAGATAGGAACGGAGAAGCCCGTTTGGTTTTCACGTGCTGAAGAAACTGCTGGCATTCAGGTTACTTGGAATTTACTCTGAACTCTTCTCCTGGGCTGCAGGGTGGCAATGAGGCAGTCACCTTTACTTCAGTTTGTAACATTAAATGCACTTCAGAAAATTATAGAGAACTGCCATAGCATAAGCAAAATACTTTTCCTTTGGTATGAAAAATTTATGATGCTTATTTCATTGAAGTCCTGCTGTGTTAAGTATTTAAGAAAATCAGTTGATAACTATTTAGTGGTAGTCACTTTTAAAAATGCTTTAGAGAAACTGATGGGAATGGAGCTACTAATTAAGGAAAGCTGTTGATCTAGAGAAATGCAAATCATCGCTCAAACCTTGATATACTGATGGTGGTGGTACACAGTAAAATCCCAGTTTGTAGGTTTTTCTTTTCAGATTCTTTAGCAGCATTTTGAATATCATTGTTGCTACAGGGACCGAGATAACCTATCTGATAAGGAAACATTTTGGATTTTGGATACAGTGGTGACAAATGGTGCTCCTCAAAGGCACAGGATACTTTGATGTCCAGTAAGAGGTAGGCTGTTGGATGGTGCTTAAGTTATTTACTTCTTTGTGTGCAAGCACGAGTGTCTTGGTATCATCCAAAAGAGACAGCTTCTTTAGGTGGGACATCACATTTGACAGGAACCCTTCAGATACTTTCTACCACTTCAGAAAGACTGGCTCTGTGGGGGATCCTCCCGTGCTCCTTCATAACTATGAAGTCAAAACGCAAATGAAGGTGCACCAGCCTGCATAGGCAGAGAATATGTTTTTGAAGGAGACAGTAGTATTTTATTTTGCTTTTTTTTACACGGGAGGCATATTGTATACCTTCAATATAATTGTCTTTCCATTTCTTGTGTTAACTTGAAAAGAAATGGGTTGCACCATACATCAGTCAACATATAAACAGGACTTAGAAAAAAAGACAAAGAAACACTTGTTACCAGGGCCTGTAGTAACAGAGAAAGGGGCATTGGTTTTAAACTGAAAGAGGATAGGTTTGGATTGGACGTAAGGAAGAATTTGTTTACAATGAGAATAGTGAGACACTGGAGAATAAGTGGCGAATGGCCCATCATTAGAAGTGTTCAAAATTAGATTGGGTAGGGCTTTGAACAATCTGATCTAGTGAAAGATGTTCCTGTCCATGGCAGGAATCTTTGAAGAATCCTTCCAACCTAAACCATTTTATGAATCTATGATTTTTTGGTTTTGGTTGTATTTCTTGTTATTTGAATTAAAATTTAGGAAAGGGTAAACTGAGATAGATTTGATTGCTTGTCCTTTTAATTGTCGTGAGATTCACCTTCATATTGGAAGGCAGATTTTGGCCTTAAGGTGGACATCTTCAAAATATCAACCTTCTAGCCATGAAGATATTACTCTTGTAATGTTGGAAAACATTGCAAGTAATAGTTGGTTGCATTCATTGTTATCTGCTAGAGCTCGTCTCTGACTTCTTTACTCAGCTAATTTATGTGTGGGGAAGCTGTGGTCTTCTTTCTTCTTTTGAAACTCTATCATTTAAGTCCTTGTGGAAGATATCCTATGCTATTTTATAATTTTTATTTTGTTGAGTTGTAATTCAAGAATATCACAGATCATCAGATACATTTGCTAATGTTTTCTGTTTTCCTTTTCCTTAGGACCTTTCATTACTCAGCATAGTCAATAACTCAAATCTTCTCCATTGTTGGTAATTATTTTCATCCTTTTTATTTTAAGTTTGGCAGCTTTATCACTAAATTAGATATTTTTCTGATTTTCATGCCTAATGTTTTGCAGCTCCCTGTAGGTCTTTTTTATTATTGTCTCTCTAATTTTGCTGCCTTTGTTTTTGATCTTCTAATTTTTTCTTTATAACTTATCTTAATTTTTATTTTTGTCTTCTTTTTTAATCATGTAAGAAACACTTCCTCGGTTGTTATTCACTATACTTACACTTGATTAATGTAATTTTTTTGGCTAATAGATTCTTAGCTATTTGACATTCTGTAATGCTTGGCTGATTCCTCTGCAAAAATCTTTTAGCATCGTGTCATGCAAGTTATTGACAAATTACTCTCAACAGTAAAATGCAGAGCATCCTTAACTGTCACTGACATCTTTGCTTGGCATTATAGGAGACATATGGCTTCCTACAAAACTGTGTTGTTTTTTAACTTAAATTTTGTTGCCTTCCTGTTGGAGCTTTTGAACTAAGGTATAAATACTGTACCATAAATATTTCTTTTCCCCTTCAAGGAATCTGATGTTAGCTTAACACTGAGCATTCCAGGAGAACCTGGGAGGTTTAGCTTGCAGTAAAAATATTTTGGTGTTTCATTCCTCTCTACTTCCTCCTGGCATTTGAATGTGTGCACAGCACATTCACTCTTGAATTTTGTCTCAAGCCATGTGAATAGGATGGCATTTAAGTACCAAGAGTAAGCTAATTTTGCAGCAGAAATGAAGGTACGGGTTCTTTGTTGTTGTGTTGCTGGCAGGGGGTTGAACTAGATGATCTTTAAAGCTCCTTCCAAACCAAAACATTCTATGATTTTATGAAAACTCTATAAGTGCACCAATATTATATCAGTATTCAAAGTAACAATCAGGATTACTCCAGTAACAAATTAGTTTCATGTGATATAAAAACTGAATTCTGTCTCCTCTTTTTTTGTTAGTAAGGAGTTACAAGTCTGGACTCTGTAATGGGTTTTCACATGTTTTTATGACTGTAGGTCTTGTCATAGAATCATAGAATGGTTTGGGTTGGAAGGGACCTTAAAGGTCCTCTAGCTCCAACCCTGGCATGGGCAGGAACACCTTTCACTAGAGCAGGTTGCTCAGAGCTCCATCCAACCTGGCCTTGAACACTTTCAGGGATGCAGAATTTTCTTCAAGGTTTCAGTTAATTTCAGCCAAATGTGTATAGAGTGCTGCAAGCTGTCTGACTTGATGTAGATGTTTTTAAAACCATCACTCCATTTTAACAGATTTAATGGGTTACACACTGGTTGAAAGACATCTCAAACAGTTATTGTGGTGGCAGTGAAATAGGGCTGCTTTTAGAATGGCTGTGCAACAAGTGGAACCAGGTTCAGCCCTATTTAGCCCTAAATTGGAATTAAATATGAAAGAAAAATCTTCTAAAACTTATATCTGAAATGAACAATTGGAATACCATGAATAAA